GGTTACTGTAGAGAAGCTGAAGTCTTGTTCAGCTTCTGTGGATCTCTCAGCTTGAGGACAGGAGGAAGAGCTGCAGGGGGATGAGAGATTATTTTTGGAAGGATTGCAGTTTGATGTTGGTGTTTGAACTAGTCTCCAAGTGGGAGAATTGTTGGTTTTTTTTATGGAGTCTAGTTTGTATATGTGATTCGGATGATGACCCGACCCGAAGTAATGTTGTGTGATTTTTTAATGAAAAATTTTCTGAGGCTTAGTCCATGGAGCGAAGGCTTGGGCCGATAGGCCCAAGCCGTAGCGCTCATGGACAAGCCTCGCCCCCGAGGAAAATTTTTGGGCCCGTTATATAGCCCAATGCGTAGGACATATAAACCCTGTTATTTTGGTGATTAGGGTTAATCGTGAATTGTACAGCCGCTCTCTGTATTCAACTCTCTCAATAGTGAAATCCCTGCAGCTTCGTGGACGTAGACAAATTGCCGAACCACGTAAAATCTGTGTCTTGTTCTTTCTTGTTTCTTATTGCTTTATATTCTTGATTTGTTCTTTGATTGTGTGTGTTTGTTAGTGGATTTAAATCGTGTTTAATCCCAACATATCCAAGGGCAAGGTACATGTTTGGTAGGGAGTCTTTTGGGCCCACAAACTAATTTAGGACCCACCTCATTCTCATTCTCATTCTGTGGGTATTCACTACCATTTCACCTTTGTAATGCATAAAAAGTATATGTGAGATTCTGGTGTTCCACATCAGTTAGGGAGGGAAAAGTGATTGACACCTCCCTCTGCATGGCATAATATTGTTTGTTTTGGGCCCACTGACCCTCATGGTTTTGTTCCTCCCAGTATTCCTGAGAAATGTCTTATGCCATGTAAGGAAACGGACTTACTAATAAGTCCAATCACTTTTCCCTTACTAATAAGCTCAATCACTTTTCCCTCTCTAACCGATGTGGGACACTAAAATCTCACAATCCACTCCCCTTAGGGCTGCACGTCCCCATGCAGCAGCTCGCCAACTACCTACCCGCCCACTACACGCAAGCACGTTAGGGGCCCACACTCGATTTAGGTGAGAGTCGGCTCTGATACCAACTTATAACATCCCTCCCTCTACATGACATAATATTGTCTGTTTTGGACCTATTGGCCCTCACGATTTTGTTCCTCTCAGTATTCCTGAAAAAAAAGTCTTATGCCGTGCAAGGTAAGGGGCTTACTAATAATCTCAATCACTTTCCTCTCTCTAACCGATGTGGGACACTAGGATCTCACAGTATCTCCTCATCACCACTTCAATGTTGTGAAAACTGCCTCTCCGCTTTTTTTAAACTATGACTATCAAATAATGACATGTTAAGTTTCTTGGTACCAATATAAGATGTCCCTTATTCTTGTGATAGAAAATTCTTATCAAAACAGTATAACACGGTGAGTTGATCCATCACATACTTTTATATATCTAGGGTGTAGAGTTTTTGTCGCTTCAACTATAGTCGTGTCTAATAGCGTTATCAAACTTGGAGTCACCACCTCCCGTACAATTTTCAGACACATTCCTCTTTGTCACTCAAAGAAAATAACACAGTTTTTTACTATCAGATAAATGGATTGTATTAATATTCAATGATAGAGATTATACCACGTTATTTAATATAGAAGATTTGATAAATATAATATTTTTTTTCATAAAATTTTCATTGAACGGCGCCGTTACTTGAAGCATAAGTGACAGCATCCCACAGTGTTTCTCACGACGACTATGACATCACAGAAAGCAAGTGGGACTCGAAAACCATAGGCTTCTAGATGGATTAGGAGAGACTTTTGTTGAGCTGAATGAGCAATGCCATGTGAGCTTTAGATGAGGTAGGCCTTTGATGTATGTAGGTTAGCAGGAATAAAGAAACGTATGGTTGTACCAATAAAGAAACGAGATTAAATAATAATAATTTTAATTTGTTAATTCACAATAATATTAAATTAAAGTTTTTAACAATCTTGTTAATTCACGAAGAATATCAAGTTAATTTAAAAAAAAAAGAGAATTCATTTCTCAACTTATTTCAAATAATATTAAAACTATTGAATCCGTTTAAAATACATATAAATATGAAATCCTGAGGATCTTAAATTACTAGAAAAATCAAGCAAAAAAATAATATTACAAAAATATTCCAAACAACGAGATAAAATACAAAAGTGTCTAAAACGTCATTGTTTAGTTTAAAAACAACGGATTGAAAGATTTTAATCTTGCTCAGATCATCGAAAACTTTTCAGAATGTGGTCTTCTGAAATTTTTTGACATTGTTGCCAAAAATCAACGCTGCTTTTAATTGTTTTGATCGACTATGTAATCTTCTACTATACATACTGCATCACCCCTCTCAGCGAACCCATATCCAGTTGTCACTCCACATACTAGTTTTGTCGATGGATTAAATTCGGATTAGATTTTTCTAATTAAAATTCAGTTAAAAAGTTTTGATTCTAATATTGAACTATTTTCACCTTCTCAATTCATATCCAATCTTTTAAAAATTGGATATCCGATCCGAATAAATTCTACATATAATTCAATTCAAATCAAATCAAATATTGATATTTCTCTATCAAATTCGATGGAATATGATTCGATTCGAGATAAAATCGGATTCTCTATGGTGCCTACTCTACACCACAAACCCATTCGGGCCACTTGGAGATATGGAGATAAATACTATAAATACCAAAGCCACAACCCCTCCAAGTGCATGTTCTCTAGTATCACATAACTCTTTAGATACCTTCAAGTGCCAAAATACTCTCTGTTCCATTCAAAGCCAGTGATGAGCATACGTTTACCCTCCATGATCATCAATGCCAAGCAAATTTACAAACTGCACTCTCTTCTTTTCAGAAATCAATTAGATGTTCCTAAAGGCCATTTTGCAGTATACGTAGGAGAGTTTGAGAAGAAGCGATTTATTGTTCCGATATCTTACCTGAACCATCCTTCGTTCCAAGACTTGTTGCGTCGGGCCGAGGAAGAATTTGGATATGATAATCCTACGGGTGGCCTCACAATTCCTTGCGAAGAAGACACCTTCCTCAATCTCACTTCTCGATTGCATATTTTATGAACAAAAGGGGAGGAAATAGCAATCCTCAACAGTTTTGGCAAGAGAATTTTTTTTTATCCTTTCTCTCTTTTTCTTGTGTTAGGCAAAGTTGTATTGAAAGGACATGAATAAACTTTTGTACCACAATATCATATACATATGACAACCTTGTTTCTTCAACTCATAATCAATCTAGTCCATCTTATCATTATTTAAACATTTTCGATAAATTGTTGAGCGTCTACTATACAATGATCAACACAAACAAATGAAATACTACAATTTGTATGCACAACGAATAACTGTATTTCTGTACTTTTTGATACAAAAACCCTCAATGATAGATTATGAAAAGTGATGACTAATGATAAAATGTTAAAGTGCTTAACGAAGAACAAATTTGGGTTATTTATAGATGCAAAGATGACTATTTGAAATAGCCACTACTGATCAGATGTAACCCAAAAGATATTTTAGATGCTCATTCACTAACTGATGCAAATTCAAATGATTAGAACTAGTGCGAATTTTAAATTCAAGTTAGAGGCGAAATTTAAATTCCAACGGACAAAAAAATTAAATTTGGGGTAAACAAATTTCACCCCCAAAAAAATAAGGTTGCATCAACTGATGTTAAAGTGCTTGAGCCCGATTGGGCTGGTTCAATGTGCGTGTGACCGAACCTAAGCTTCCTCTCATCCATAAAAATGGGGTGACCCTTGAGGCCCAATTCTTATAGCAAATTTGGAGAATATATGCTCACTTAAGAATTCTTACTCAACCAATGTGAAATTAGTATTAAATCTCATACATCCCAACCTCTATTTTCATATTCCTACATCATTCAAAGTGAAAATCATACTTCTGTTTCTTGACATATTTGGTAACCTTTTACTTGCATAATCAAGAGCCGTTACAATCACATCTCTTTTGAACTCGTGACTACAATATAACTTTGTGATGATAATTTTTTTTTTTTTTTACATTATTCTTTTTATTTCATTTGGTAATACATGAGAAAGAAGTATGAAAGATCATTCGATAAACTCAGTCACTCACAGCTGCTCTTTTGAAAGAGTCATTACATGCAGAAATCTAGCTAAAAAGTGAACACTACAGCACATACAAGAGGGTGGTGGAACATGGCATACTGGCTTATATTTTACATATGACCTTAAAGTATGTCTTCCCATTTTGAAAACTCCTTTTGTTTCTACCTCTGACCACCATTTGATCCAAGCAAAGCCTTCAAAACATCAAAGAAATCATGCTTGTACCCATTGGCATGAAAATGCTGACGTGGTATGATCTTTGTGTACAGGTAGAATACCGCGCAAGCAATCGCAGGCCCAGCCCAAAAGACCCAATGCCCATTCCAGAGATGGCCACCCCTAACAATTGCAGGGCCCAAACACCTTGCCGGGTTCATCCCAGCACCAGCATAACCCTTTTTCGCTGTGACCGTCGTTGAGACAAACACAAGAAGGCCTAGCACAGTACCAACGATCGCAAAAACTTTAAACAGGCCCAGGGTCTTCGCTTGGCGATGATCATATGCCATCCAAATTGAAGCGAAAAGGAACACAAAGGAACAAATTATTTCAAGCCAAAGGGCCTGGCTAGTCTCGAGGCCTATTGTAACGGGCCCATTTGGGCCCGGAGCAATGACCGTGAGGGTACACCCTCCAAGTGAGAAGGTTTGTTCAATGGTGCTGCTTACCACAGCTTTGAGTGCTAATGCCCCTAGCACTGCACCAAGACATTGTGCCAGGATGTAGATGGTGGCGCGTGAAATGGAGATCAGCCCGACGAGGGCAGCAGAGAAGGAGATGAGGGGGCTGATGTGGCCACCGGAAACCGGAAAGACGGCGAGGAGTAAAATTGTGATTGTGATGGCAATGAGGACTGACATTATCAAGTTTGGCATTTTGGTTTCGGACTCAATGGTTGATATTACAATTGTGTCAATCATGAAGACCAGAACTGCTGAGCCAAGAAGTTCCCCAACTGATGCCCTCCAAACCTATTCATGAAAAATTGAATTGAATTATACCTGTCATGGTAATAAAAGAAATAGCAGAATCCCAATATAACTCAAGTAGCACTACAAACGAATTGTAAATTTAAACGTTCTCAGTTCGAATTTTAACAATTATAATAAATTTATGCCTTATAAATACCTTAATTCAAACATGAATGACCTGCTTCTAATCAGATTGAGAAGGGGATTAGTGAATATGCATGACATGTAAGTTAAATTGCTTGTGAAATTAGGCTAGTTAATTTCACGACCCACAAACCCAATATAAAAATAATACGCAATTAGTGGGTTTGAGTTCAATTTTAAGAAATCGGAGTTATAAGTGAGTGAATCCATTTGAACCATCAAAATAAATAAATCGATATGAATTCGTACGTACGGATTGTATATGTTACGAAGCAGTTAAATGATCATATAAAAGTACACTATAAATTGAACAAATTTTAACATGACATGATTTTTAACATGATACAAATTCAAGAGGACAAAACTTATAGTTAGTTGTATGTAAAATTGTACCCACATTTAAGGAAAAGATCTCGTCAAAACCCAGTCTCTCAACCAATGAAGGGGGTGTTTGCCTCTCTCCTCCATCTACTCTCCAGTGCTCTGCCCTACAAAAACATGAAAAATTAAATTAGTTAGAGATTTGTTGGGGAATCATACTAAATCACACATCTTTTAAACTCGTGACTACAATGTAAGTCTCGAAAATGCATAACACCCACGAATTATGGACATTTGTTACACTTGATTTTTATGTAACTAGAGAACACAAAGGCAAGACATGCACAACCAAATTTAGTTTAAATTTGCTACCCTCTCTTGAAAGGGAGTGTGTGCATGCGTTGCTTATTTCAAAAATAGGCTAGATCGAACCAGCAGTACTTTTTTTAGAAAGTAGATGTCATAGAATTTCTTGAAGTGAGAGAGAGAGTCAAAGTCAGGTACTTGCATTGGTGTAGAGGAGAGTGGTTGGATTTTAATTCCAACAGAAAGGCTTTCTTCATCCTTCACCAATTGCCCAGTATTGGCAGCCATGAGCGAAGACTAGCAGTTTCAGCTATGCTATGCTGTTCCTTGTGGAGGGTTGTGCTGTGTTGCCTCTCTTATTCAGCCTAAATATAAGACTGAAAAAGTATGCAATCAGTTACGTACTTATTGATTTCAGACACAGTGGCCTTGTCTATTTCTCCTCTCACTCCTCACCCACTACTCTTCAACTACTTTCATTTAAACTCATTTATTATTCTCATTTTTTCACTCACTTCTTCAATTTTAACTTAGTGATTTTATTTTTTTTTATTTCAACAGTCTAGATGTGAGAATCAATTTACGCACACTTCGACTAATCTTCTCTTCTGTGTGTCTGATTAAAGGGATATCCGAAATTAGTAATTTTCACTGCTGGGTAACAACAAGCGGGCTACATCTAACCGTATAACTTACAACTAATCTAATGACTATAATGAAGTAAGTTTTTGATTAAGTTCCCAAATTAAGTCACAAGCTCTTTACCATCTAATGCATCTCCAAACATTGCATCATTACAATTTTATTTGGTTCAAGCATGGACATAATTAGGGATAAAAATTTTGAACAATGTTTATTACACAATCATAATTCAATAAAACACAAACTCATGAAGGATGCAACTAACTAAAACGAATGATAAATGAACCAAATTAGTATCAAAATGAATAATCTAGTTGTGACATGGCCAAATCTGATTAACTTGTACAATATAAAAATGCGGCTTATTATTTTTTATTTATTGACCAAGTATTTTATAAATTACCAAAAAAATTAAATGATTTGTCCACTTAATTTTACTAAAATTTAAATTTATGAGGACGAGGTTATACAAATATGATATGAATATAACACGAATTCAAAATAATACGTTTTATACAAAATTTTAATCAATATTAATTAATTCTATTGTTAATATGCTTGAACCTTTGACTCATAAAGGCGTCAAAAAATGGTGAAAAAAATTAATAGAAAAAGATTATATATATTCTTTAAACTATATTATCTAAAATGTTGCAGTATCTTGAGGAAATAAAATATAAAATCACGTCACGATCATAATACCATTTTTTATTTAATCACATTAATTGCTCCAACTAAAAGCGAGGCTTCAATGATTTTCAGAGCTTTTGACCCATCCTATGATTTTTAATAAAAAAAAGTCTCAAATAAGGGTGGATTTCAAAATATTTTTCAAACCCAAGTCGTTTTAAAAACGTCAATTGGTCTGATATTTTTAAGCCAAAAGATTAACTTAAAAACGTCAGACTAACTGACGTTTTTAAGCTTATTGTGAGACCCAATATACTGTTTAAGCACGTTAGTTGGACTGACATCTTCAGAAAAAGCGTCAGTCCAAATGACGCGTTTATTTTAAAATCTAAATCTCTCGGACCAAACCCACAAAGTTCATATAACTTAAAAAGATTGTTGCCTCCATGCCTAAATAAAAAAATTATATTAATATTTATCACAAATTTTGTCATCACGTCAATGAATGCTGCCTCCACATATGCCTATTTTATTAACTAAAAGGACATTAGTCGAAAATGCTTGGATAAAAAAATAAAAAAATCTTGAATAAAAATCTAATGCTCGAATAAAAAAAATAAATTAGTCCAAAATGCTTGAATACAAAAATTAAAAAATTTAATGCTTGAATAAAAAAATAAATTAATATTTATTTGGGTAATTATCATAAGTGACTCCTATCATTTTCTCTTGGATTTTAATGTAGTCCGTAAAATTTTAATTTTTTTAATTTAATCCATCAATTATCAATTTTATTTCAATTAAATCATTGATAGTTGAGAGACTAAAAAAAGACAAGTGAAAGTTCATGGATTAACTTGGAATTAGAAATAAAATTCATGACTAACTATGAAATTTATCATAATTTTTTATAAAATATTGCAAAAGCATCAAATAAATATAATTTTAATTAATTTCTAATTAATTTTAATTTCTAAAAATATTTTGCTCCTTCTCTTTTTGAGACGATGATTTTTTTTATGTATTTAAAAATTTAATTACATTCAATAAATAAATTTTGATAATTTAAATATATTTATATTTTTTAGCATATGAAACTTAAAAAATTGAAAACGTATACATATAATTAATTTTTTTTATTATATAACTATAAATGCATACATAAAATAAAAATAAATTTTTATTTGTAATGCTGATCATGTCGACATTAATGTTTATTAAGCTGTGAAAAAACATAAGTTATTCAGACCGTGTACATTTTAAAAAAGGATGTTAACAATGTGATTGGTATTCAAAACAATATAAAGGATTATCGAGTACACATAAACATGATGGGATAAAAGTGTCAGATGCATCATCGTCCCAATCAGAGACATACCTTATTCACCACTTAAGACTTTTTCATAAGACATACCTTATTCACCACTTAAGACTTTTCCTAAAAAAAATTTAGGGTTTTGAACAAATTTGATATAGTCTTTTCTTTGGCGATGTTCAACGCAACTGACGGCGTAAGGCACAGTAGCACAGTCCCTAGGGCTTTGCGATCCAGAACATCCCACTTTGTTTGCTCCATATCCACTAGCTTCGTGTTATCGATAGGTTGATACAGATCTTTCTGAGATAAAATATCCTTCATCTACATCTTTCAAAACGCGTAGTTCGTGCCACTGAATTTTTCGATCTTGACTTTGTCTTCAACCATTTTGTAAACTCTTGTCCTCTTAACCCGGAGCTCTGATACCAATTATTAGGAAATTTGCATGAAATTCTCAAACCTGTAAGGAATAAAAATAGAGAAAACACACGCAAAAAAAAAAAAAAAACAATAACACACACAAAACAGTATTTATATGGTTCGACAATTTGTCTACGTCCACGAAACTGCATGGATTTCACTATTGAGAAGAAAGAATACAGATAACGACTGTACAATACCAATCTAACCCTAATCACTAAAATAACAGTTTTTATTTGTCCTGCGCACCGAGTTATAAAACAAGCCCAAAAAATCCAAGTCTTTGTTCTATGGATTAAATCTCAGAAAATTTTTATTAAAAAACCATGCAACATGATTTCGGGTCGGGTCATCATCCGGATCAATACAAACTAGACTCTACAAAAAAATCCAACAAATTGTAATATAGAGACATGAAGCAACATGCTCCAAAATGAACGCTTAAGGGTGGTCTAGTTGTTGAGTCTATTTGATAATTCAGAGATTTTAGATTCTATTTTTTTCTACACCCCCTAAGGACTAATCACCTTGTCCTAAATCAGCTCAAGTTACGGTGGCCAACCACTGAATTTGAAAGAGTAATCGACACAAACCTAAACACTTTATAAAAAAAAAATACAATGTTTGCCTTAAAATGTATACCGTGTGTGTGTTTGCGTTTGTACTGGGGAGCATGTGAGGTTCTAATAAAACTAAGGGATTTCAAGATTGCAATTTAATGCGGAGATATGAAGCAACGAAAAAAATAATTCATTGTGATTTATTTCGTGGGGCATTCTAGATCTTTTCCCATTGAAAACTTGGCACCCTGTTTTAGAAAGAGAGAGAGAAGTCGTTGGTTCCAACCACATTTTTCTACTCATTAATTTTCAGAAAAATACTTAAATACTCAAGTTAGACTAGAAGCAAATTTCAGAGATCTTTAAACGAGTTACGTCACATATTCTTTGTTCAACTCGATTACAAAATAATATTAGACAATGAGGCAAAATCAAATTGAATCCAAATTCAAAGAGGTTGAATGGTCAGAACTTGAAATATTTCTTACCAAGATTAAGATTTGCATATCAATGTTACATCATGCTCTTCTGGACTTGTATCTCAGAAAAGCTGGAGGCTCAAAAGTCATCTCTCCTCATGCCTTTAATTGGCCTGATAAGTAGGAGAGTATAATAAATGATGCTGTAGTCAATCAATGTCTCCCTTGCTTCTCTTTTTGGTAATGTTATTATAAAGTTGTGCACAGCATCACCATATTGGATAAGGATAAGGATAAGGATACAATATGAATATTGTATCAAAAATAATTTGAATTTTTAATTTTAATTTAGATGATTTGAGATTTAGTTCGGATTAAAACTTGGTTAAATTGAGTCGAGTTATGTTATGTACATATCACAAGTTTATTGGATAACTTTTTGATATCATAGTTGGTTCTCCATGATATAAGTATAGGCTTCCCTTCCGGGTTGTTTGTTTATATCTAGTGTTGTACAATTATTACAAAAAACTTGAGATATTGATAATCAAAATATTCATATAGTAAGTATTGCACTCGTACCGTTATGTTTCATTATAATTGGGTGACAATGTTTAGCATTATAGAATACTCTTTGTATGTGAGATAAGATTATGTATATATAAATTTCTTTATATTCTACGTTAATTAAAACCTTGTGCACCGAGTTATTCGTTTAAATATTCAACACAAATGATATATTTTCTTACTATTTATAACAAAAAGAAGAGCTATTTATGTCGCATAACAAGTGAAAGAAATAATTAATGGATATTTTTTTGCTCATTTTTTTTTTGAAGTGGAACTTTAATACCTATTAGAAAGACCAATTCCATGGTGCCTAAAAAAAAGTAAAAAGGAGTTGCGAGGATTTATGCTGAAAGAGAACAAATTCAAAGAAAATCATCGTTGTTTGTTTCTAAGAAGTAATAACTTAGTAGTGTGGCCAATCAAATGAACAGAGAATGAGAATGAGAAATCTAGAAAGACTGTGTTAAGAGAGGCCATAGCGGTTAGAGATAACCTGAGTCTCGCTTTCCCTAATACAAACTATCCCTCGCGGGAGTCATCTTTTCTAGAAATCGATTAAAAATAAGATGCCTTTCTTACCTTTGTCTGCAGCAGGCCGAAGGGAGACTGGACTGGGAAAGTTTAAGGGGGGTGTGGTCTGGTCCATTTTATGAATGTGATTTGGATGTTGTACGACTAATAACACATTGGGCCAGCTACTAGCACTCTGGCTTGTCGAACTGGGCTGAGCCTGGCCTTGAGTTTCGAACCATGTAATTGTCATTCTGCCGGAGAAAAGTAGTTGAAAATTAGGCCCAATTAACTCGTCGATGGTGGGTCGTTTGGCATCAAAAATTTGTTCATCTCTTTTTATGAAAAAGCCCATCAAGAAACTTAGGCCCAAAAAAATATCTCGCTGATTGTGGGTCCCACCAACCCAACAATCCGATTTGGGTAACCGTCCAAAGCCGAGGCGCATTTTTGTTTGGCCAATTTGACATGTGGCCCCCACAAACTCGTCTCCTTCTGACTTCTGAGATCTGTTTGTTTGTTTCTTCATACGCCAGGTCTCTCTCTCTCTCTCTCTCATATTTCAACGGCGATTTGGCCCTGAAGAGGAGCATCCTAGTCTCTGTGCTGCAAAACTGTGGCTATGGCTCCTCCTCCAAACGTCAAATCAGAAGAAATAGTTGAGGAGTCCATGGCTTACCAACTTGATAAGCGTCCCATCTCCACCATCGTCTTCATCATCGGTCTCTCTCTCTCTCTCTCTCTATATATATATATATATCTGTGTGTGTGTTGTGTACTGTTACATTTTACTGCTCTTTTTTGTTGATATATTAATTGACCCTCTAGTATTAAATGAGCAGCAATGCAGACTGAAGCGTTTCCTCTAGTGAAAAAGTTCCAGCTTTCTCAAGACACCAATTCTGTGTCAGTTTTCTTCTTCTTCCTTTCCACTTCTCACTGTTTTCTAGTCTATTTCTGATCGGTTAATGAGGGTTTAAGAAAAGTTACTGTTAACTTTTACAAGTATTTTAACTGTTATAGCGGTGAATTGTGGATTATTAACTTAATGCAGTTCCGTAGCATTGCACTTCTCTGTAATCTGATGAAACTTGGTCCAAAAATCATATCTTTTGTTTCTTTTCAGTAGTATGTAGGGCTAATGTTATTCAGGACGACAGAGCTATGTGCTATTTTGTGTTTTTTTTTTTCCTTTCTGTTTCGTTCAATGGGTGATAATGAATGCTATTGTCACGTGTTTCATGGAAAATTTGCTTTCTCTCTGCTCGGTGTCTAATTGATTGTACTTCCCAACTCTATACCGAAGAGAAGGGGGACTTTAGCAACTTTAAACCTGATATTATTTACGAAATTGAATCCTGATTAATAAGAGAGAACCCATTGCTTGGTGAAATGGAAAAACGAAGCAGCAACCACCTTGAAACCCGAATCACCTGATGTTATTTGTGCAAGTGAATTATGGTGAATGAGTTGGTGAAATGGAAAAATTTCTTTGGCTTGGCCTGATTCCGAAAATTAGTACATGCTTTGAGCTCGTAAAATAGAGATCCAGACATGGTTTATATCCTAGATATGGTACAATGCTAACTGTCAGAAGAAGTTATATATCTGGTCCATAGTATGTGGGAGAGAGTTCTTTATTGACTTGCCTTAATAGTGCTTCAAATGCAGCAAATATCAACGTTGTTTTCAACACCACTTATTTATTGAGTTGAGCTCTGAAAATAGGTTTAAAAACTTTGGATTGTTTCACGAGTAATGCTAAAATTAGACTCGATAATCTTAACCATTGAATAGGTAGTGGGTTTCAATAAATTGTGGGACCCACAGTAAAATTAATGGTTATAATTATCAAATATAGCTTTTAAGTTCATGTAACATTGCTCTTGTTTTATATAAAATTCTGCGTGTGATCTAATTATAGAACACATTCTTTTTTTCCTGGTGCCATAGCATCCTCAAAATTAAATTTTTCTGGCATATCAATAGCAACTTTTGAAGAGTTCTACATGCTGTGCTGTGGAGTGAATGGGCCTATTTTACTGAGAAGTGAAGGGGCTTATTTCATTCAATTCTACGTAACCTCTGTCTAGCAGCTTGTTTTGTTGTATATTAATGGGCTTATGTGTCATTAAGAAGTAAGTGAGGGAATTGTGAAAGTAATAGTCATTTTGGGAACTTGTTCAATTTGTGGTTTACTATAGTTAAGTCATATGATGTCTGAGTTTGAATACTCAATGCAAACTGTGCAGGTTTCCAGAAGGGGTCCCTTGGGTCCGATATCATGGTACTTACAAAGATCTGAATCTTAACATTATCTGGCCAGGAAAAGACAGAGCTTTCGGTAATTTTGGGCTTCCATTTCAATTTTCTATTTCTTGAATTTGATTGAGATCAGTGATTTTGTCATTTGATGAGTGGAATTGTTTGCCCCTATTAGCATTAAGGGCCTTTTTGAATTGCTGCTTTCACCTATTTGAGCAACTTGTTTCAAAGTTTCAAACTTCTTGCTGACATTCTCATTCATCTAATTGTCTTGATTTTGACGAAAAGCTCTATCTTGCACAAATGGATGGGGTGTGTGATGCAATTCATTCATGATGCGAAATCTACCAGAAAAAGGGCTCAAACACCTTGTCTCCCTCATTTTTACCTATTCATTTTTCCAAGTAGCCATTAAGAATTTCAGTTGATTTCAATCCTTCAATTTGCATTTCGTGTCATCATCTTGTCAAAGTTATCTTTTTGAGTAATCCATATGCAACTAAATGCTATATGCAGAAGAAGAGGTTATTTAACTATTCTAATGCCATTTCTCTACCTTCAGTCTTCTCCACATGCGTGTGTATCCTTTGTGGTTTGTATCTCTCTTGTAGAATCTGCCTTCTTCTTGGGATTTTGTGGAAGATATCGCAGAACCCAAAAATGTTTTGTGAACCTATCATCTAAAGTGATGGTGTATGAAAAATCCATTCGTGATGGAACATCAAAAAGTTTTAATTTAATAGATGAATTTAGAATGAAACTTAGTTTTTGAACCATTCATGGAGAAGTTGGAAAGGTTGATACATGAAACTGATGGACGAATCTTGAATTGATTTTCCTTTATTGGATGTTGGGGCTTTATGCACAGGAATCATAAAAAACATGTCAAATAAAAATTTCAACTGTTGGACCATGTGGCTGTTGTGTCCTTGAATTCCATTTACTCATTCCTTGAGTCATTCCTTTTCTAGGGGTTGACAGTGTAGGCACAATTCCTGCATCTCTTGTGACGTATGCTTCTATTCAAGCATTAAAGCCGGATCTTATCATAAATGCTGGCACTGCAGGTGGTTTTAAGGTAGCTCTTGTGCCCATGATTGTTTTTACAATGTGTTGTTTTTCTTTTTGCGCTATGAAATTTTTTAAAGCGTTCATATTTTCCTAGCTAATCGTGGTTGCTATGCTATTATGTTCGACTACATGGCATAAGCTCTATGGAATTTATTTGACAGCGGGTAGTGCGTGCTCCCCTGTTATAACTGGAGTAAAGTTTCACTTTTTTAAGTTTTATGGATCCCTAATAATGCTGTACTCGTCTTTTCTCATTATTTCTGTCGGCTCTGTGGGCCACCATCTGGATTAGAAGGGCCACCAAACAGTTGAAAGATCTCTGAAAAATACACCGAATGGAAAGTCTTTACATGTATAGGATGTTCGGAGGCATGCTTCAATTATTGTTTTTAGCTGAATTCACAAGCACGTCTATAAACACAGTAATGAATCAGTTTTTTGTTTTATAGTTTCAGATTGACTTCTAGATGTTTTCAGGCAAAAGGAGCTTGCATTGGTGATGTGTTTCTTGCATCAGATGTTGCTTTCCATGATAGAAGGAACCCTATCCCTGTAAGTCTGATTAGTTTTCTCAATGATTGTTGATGCCAACTTTTTATCGGCATTTTGCATTAAATCTTCACCTGCCTTCTTTTTGTCTTTTGATCTACAGGTTTTTGATCTGTATGGAGTTGGTTTGAGGCAGGCTTTCTCAACACCCAATCTTTCGAAGGAGCTTAACCTAAAGGTGATCAATCTTCTTTGATGTTTTGCTCTGTAATACCATTTCAATGCTTCGATAATATTGAGTAGTTGCCAAAGTTTTTTAATATCACGCGTTGTTCGACCAAACCTCATGTTCAATGGGTGGCCATTTTTTTTTTTAGTTCGTTAATGTGTGATCAAAGCTTAGTTGCAAGTAAACATTGGAGCTTTAGACCTCTCTTGTTAAACTGATCTACCGAGCAAATTGACAAATCTTAAGGTCTTACCCTTCAAAGTGCATAAGCTCTGGTGGTAATTGAGTTATGACATCATTGCAATGTTAGTCGTTGGTTCATAACTGTTTCATACCGAAAAGTAAGCTGAATCAAGATGCGACATTATTCCCAAGAAAGAAGAACATGCATCATCATTAGGTCATGATAGCAAAGAGTTATTGGATGGCTACTGCAGGCACTTCATGTGAAGTGCTACTGTTCTGTTTTCTGTTTTCCCGCTAGCAATACACATTTTCGTTGCTACTAGGTACGAGTTACTCGTATTTGTGAATGCTTACTATCTGTCGCTGAGTCGTGAATGAAGTATTTGCTGTGCGAAGACTATCACAACTTTCCAGGCAATCAATTTGGAGTCAGATTTGACACCCCTGGTGGTTTGGAATATAAGGACTTACCCAGAAAAAAAAAACATAATTACTGAAGTATATGTTGTGTTTTAAATAGACATATTGAGTAACTGATACCAGAATAGTGAACTACATGTCATATTCAGCTAATTTTTTTTGAAATACAGCTAGTCTCTCATTTGTGCTCTCTCTGTTGAACCATTTCTCATGACTTTGAATCGGGGTGCATAGTTCATGCAACAAAGTGTTAATGTAACCATTTTCCAGCAATCGTGACTCGTGAGGTTGTGCACAAATGTTGGAAATATTGTTCATTAGGGTGTCTATATTTGTCTTATGGGAGAGATGCTCATCGCAATATGACACTTTTTTGTCCATCATAACTCCAAAGATCTCTACCGTTCCAATCCATATTTGTTCCTGTTTCAGGTTGGCAAATTGTCTACTGGAGACTCTCTAGATATGTGTCCACAGGATAACGCATTGATCATTGCAAATGATGCAACAACTAAAGACATGGAGGTAAAATCTATGTTTTACCACCTCTTTTTCAGCAACTAAAAGTAAAATTTTGCAAGATAGGTCATTTCATCCAACCCTTTCCATGCAATGGATTTGCACTCTTTTCTCTACCTCAACTGGGCGAAATCTTAATTTGACAACTTGTTATCAACTAAAATTTTATTTTGTTTTTCTCCAACCTACAAAATTCATTTTTAGCCTTATTTTGCAAAGGAAGGAACAAGTGACATAATTGGAAATATCTCAACTTGTACAAGGATTTTTCAGCATATGGCTGGTCATATTGTTCATTTAGAATAAGTTGTGCATCTCAAATATGTTTACTAAATACTGTATATCAAATGAGGTGTCAAAATCTTATGCATTGAATGTTAGTGATAGTCAATGGACCCGACTAATCTAACCACCTATAGTAGTGTGGTATACAAAATTTGGTTAGTGTAGCATTGTTTGTTCAGTTATAATTGATGATGAAAAGCCATCAACTGCATTAATGGTAGGAAAACAAAGGACAGAGTGATAAGAATTGAATTATATTTCGTTATAGTAGGCGTAGACGTAGGGATTAGGAGTTATTTGTTATTTTACTTTTCAGGGATTTAATTATCATTATGACTATTTATTTCTTTTAGAGCTCTTTTAGGATTTGTGGTCTCCCTATATATATATAGGAGATATGTTATTTGTTTTGGTAGACTTTGATTATTGATTATTGATTATTGATATTGAATCTTCTTCCTAAAATTCTCTCTCTATTTTCATCCTCCTCTTCTTCTTTTCTCATCACTTTCTTCTTCCCTTCTCATCCCTAATTCTTCTCTAATATGATCTACATCAATTTGGTATCAGAACCCAACTTCGATTCATACAAATCACCAAAATAAAAAATAAAAAAAACAATTCATCGCGCCCTGTTCATCGATATTGTTCATCTCACACTGTTCACAGCTACTGTTCATCGGTTGTCCAGGTAAAAAAAAAATCAAAGGTCTATGCCAAAAAAAAAAAAATTGTTCATCGGTACTGTTCACAGCTGCTGTTCATCGGCCGTCCAGGTAAGTATAATAACTTCGTCAATAAGTCGACTGGTCGATCCCCTTTTGAAATTGTTTATGACCATTCCCCTAGACAGCCAATTGATTTATTACCTTTACCTCTTGATTCCCGCCCCTCACACTCAGCCAAAGCTTTTGCTCAGCATATTCATGACTTACATGCCGACATAAGACAAAAAATTACATTAAATAATGAGAATTATAAATTGGCTGCAGATGTTCATCGTAGAAATAAAGAATTTATTGTGGGAGACTATATAATGGTTCGTGTGTGTCCTGAACGTTACCCTAAAAATTCTTTCAAAAAGTTACATGCTCGAACCGTTGGCCCTTTTCGTATTCTTCGTAAGATTGGGCCTAATGCATATCACATTGACTTACCTTCGAATATGAGTATTAATCATATTTTCAATGTGGAGGACTTGTTTCCTTATCATGGTACTTTTGAGCCTCCTATGTTGCCAGCAGGTATTCCTACAAGTGGACTTGCTTTGTCATCAGCATCAACTACAATTCTTATTCTTCCACCGTTTCCACCATAGTTGCATGACCAGATCGCAAATGTACTTGATGATCAGATTGTGGGCTCCTCGGATGGAGGATATCGTCGTTATCTTATTCGGTGGAGAGATCGTCCAGAGACTGATGATTCATGGATTATTGAGGAGTTTCGTCGGCTTGACCCTAATCTTCTAGAGCATTATCATTATCGTATCTCTCCGGAGGCGAGTTCTTTTCAGCCGAGGGGAAATGATAGGAATCGAATTATATTTCGTTATAGTAGGCGTAGGCGTAGGGATTAGGAGTTATTTGTCATTTTATTTTTCAAGTGTTTAGTTGTCATTATGACTATTTATTTCTTTTAGAACTCTTTTAGGATTTGTGGTCTCCCTATATATATATATAAGAGATATGTTATTTGTTTTGGTAGACTTTAATTATTGATTATTGATATTGAATCTTCTTCCTAAAATCTTCTCTCTATTCTCATCTCATTCTTCTTCTTTTCTCATCTCTTTCTTGTTCCCTTCTTATCCCTAATTCTTCCCTAATACAATCTACATCACAGAGAGATTCCACCAATCAACTAAATAGCTCTTTGGAAAGTCTGGGTCTTTGTCTCTTGAAACAATTCTTATTATAAGTAGGAATATACACAATCTATGCATCTAAATTCCTGCAACATTCAAATGATAGAAATACTTGATGGAATCAACTACCTTGTGGCATTGCATAGATAACTCCAGCAAAACAGAAACACATATGCTTTTACTGTCTTGGATTTATTCTTTTCCAGCTTGGAGTTCACATCTATTTTTCTCCTATTCTAAACGGATTGGCATTGCCTTATTCCCATTTTTTTTTGGCCGAGAACATTACTTTAGAGCTGTGCCATTTGAAAAGGGCGGAGGAACCTTAAGAAATCAATCATTTGGTGTAGTTTGCTACTTGGCTATACTTATAATATTGAATGCTTTTGCCATCTAATGGAGAGGGCTTTATAAGGAATGACTATTCTTAGTCCCTAAAACATCTAACCTTTGCTGGTGATTGTTGTCAAAACAGAGATGTGTGTATTCCTTCATTTGCCAATCCTAGTAGAAATATGGAAATAGTCGAATTACCTAGAACTACTTTCGAGACCTACGTTTATGCTCTGCCAAACACTTGAGAACATTTTTGCATTTGTATATTGCAGGACAACTTAAACTATTTTGCTATTGGGTTTCAGGGAGCAGCAGTTGCCTATGTGGCTGATCTTCTGAAAGTCCCTGCAATATTTATAAAAGCTGTGACTGATGTCGTGGACGGCGACAAGCCCACGGCGGATGAGTTTTTGCAAAATTTGGCAGCAGTGACTGCTGCACTGGCTGAAACAGTCCCCCAAGTAGTCGATTTTATCAATGGGAAGTGCCTATCCGAACTTTGATCCTTCGTATGCTGCTCTTCTTCATGTTTCAGCAGATAAATATGTGACCAGTGTGTCTTGAGGATTTCTACCAAAATGCTCTCCCCATTTTTGCCAGAAGCAGATCAATTTCTTCTTTCAGCGGAAATGTATTCTTGTGTTCTAAACAGCCATCTTCCACTGCTGCTGTTTTATGATTGTACGTCATATTTAAGAACCAAAAACTGATGAGTCTCCAAGGTAGGTGTCTCTATCAGTTCGATTTTGTGTAGTAATGCCTCGTTGCAAAAACTGGCAAATTGCTCAACATTCAATCACAGCATAGCAGCCCCCCCTCCCCCCTCTCTTTCCTTTCCACCTTCCAAGTTTACTTTTTCACAACGAAGGGTTCCTTATCTGTGATCATGCATTCCCTGGAACGGAACATTAGTCTCACATTGCCTCAGTTGCTTACATGGAACCAGCAATTTTTTGCTCTGTTGAATGTCAATGTAGTAAACTGTAATTTGCAGGTGCATAACAATGTGCACACACACGCCCATGTATTAAGAGACCATTGGCGAAGCTACTGTCGGTGGCTGAGTTTAAAGCACTATTGTGCATCCCAATTCATCATCCTGAACAACTTGGTCCATCACTTCTTCCATTACGAAACAAAAAGGGCTATCCTTCTATCATTGTCCTTTGACTGTGTTTTGGATGTATTGAGCTTCTCAGTGAGTGTTAATTCAGGAATGGAGAACCCCCAACACGCTTTTCGTGAATTTTTATCAATCTCGATCTCTTCTTGTATGTTGGTGGGTGATTAATTTACATATAATAGGTCCCGTTGGAATTCATGACGGTCCTCTACTATTGAGAACATGTTACCTGTGCAAATGGCCATCAATATTGATTATATTCACAACAGACCACACTCCAAATACCACCAAAGTAAACCCCCACCAAACCTCCACCAACACCTTCAAACAAAACTCATGAACAATTTGCTCTGCAACTAACCATTGGAACTCCAAAAAAAACTACACCACACTTCCTCCCTCTCTCCCTTATACAATGATAAAGACAAACTATGAGCTTATTCTATTGTGCCATAACTTTTGCAATAGAGCTATAAATACATACATAACCAGTCCTATGGCTGCCTCATTCGAAAGAAAACGAGTTTGTATTCATCGCTGTCTTCTGGCAAAGAGAGATATAGACATGGGAAGTGGAGAGATCATGCGAGGAGCAAAGAAGGTGAGCCATGGCAAAGCTACAATTCTGGCTCTTGGCAAGGCATTTCCTCACCAGCTTGTCATGCAAGATTTTCTAGTTGACGGGTATTTCAGAAACACCAACTGTGATGATCCAGACCTCAAGCAGAAGCTAACTCGACTCTGTAAGTTTACTCTTCAACTATCGTCCATTTTCCTGTTAATTATGGCCTTACTTCTTTTGATGAAGTTTTGATTATGATATTACAAAAGGATGAAAATATGCGAGCCATAAACAGAGACACCTTGAATTCAAGTCACATTAACTGCATAAATCCAAGTTTAACCGAATCATTGTTTTGGTCCTGCCTGAACTCTATTCTGAAAAGCAGATGCAGTCAAGTGACATTAGAAACAGAGTTTCTTGGAAGTCTTGACCGAAATCTCTAATTTGATTATTTTGCATCACCTCACAGGCAAGACTACAACAGTCAAAACAAGGTATGTGGTCATGTCAGAAGAGATCCTACAGAAGTACCCTGAGCTTGCTATTGAAGGCCACCCTACAGTAACACAACGTTTAGACATCTGCAACAAGGCTGTAACACAAATGGCAATTGAAGCTTCACAATCTTGCATCAAGCAGTGGGGAAGATCCACTTCAGACATAACCCACCTGGTCTATGTTTCCTCAAGCGAAGCTCGACTGCCCGGAGGCGATCTCTACCTAGCAAAAGGACTTGGACTAAGGCCAGAAACTCAGAGAGTCACCCTCTATTTCGCGGGCTGCTCGGGAGGCGTGGCTGGCCTTCGTGTTGCCAAGGACATTGCTGAGAACAATCCAGGGAGTAGAGTTTTGCTAGCTACTTCTGAAACTACCATTATTGGATTTAAACCACCAAGTGCAGATAGGCCATACGATTTAGTTGGAGTTGCACTCTTTGGCGATGGTGCCGGAGCCATGATCATTGGCTCGGATCCGGTTTCAGCCATTGAAAGGCCTCTCTTTGAGTTGCATACTGCTATCCAGCATTTCTTGCCAGACACAGAGAAGATCATCGATGGTCGACTCACAGAAGAGGGGATAAGCTTCAAGCTAGCAAGGGAGCTTCCTCAGATAATTGAGGATCACATTGAGGAGTTCTGCAGTAAGTTAATGGACATTGTTGGGTATTGTGAAGAGGACTACAACAAAATGTTTTGGGCAGTTCACCCCGGTGGACCAGCTATTTTGAACCGGCTGGAAAAGAAACTGGATTTGGTGCCGGAGAAACTTAGTGCTAGCCGACGAGCTCTGGCAGATTATGGAAATGCCAGCAGCAACACCATAGTGTATGTGTTGGAGTACATGCTGGAAGAGAAGAGGAAGATGAAAGAAGAAGGAAGAGAAGACTCTGAGTGGGGCTTGGTTTTGGCTTTTGGTCCTGGGGTCACATTTGAGGGTATTCTTGCCAGGAATCCAAGTGTCTGAGAAACTTGTTTCCTGTTTCAATTAGTAGGAACATACAGTTCAGTTTGGCTTGATCGTATATGATGTGATATGAACTGAAATTTCAATGGCAATGTTATGTTCAGTTTAACCTACAAAGGTGATTTCCTTGATCAATGCTATGGAGATGTACAGTCCTAGCATAGCACAATGTTTGAGGAGCGCTAGAGCCAACTCAGGTCATTGCATTTTTGTCAGCTAATTCCCATAAGTATCTAAATCAAAATGGTGTACTATTTCAACAAAATGCAGTCCATAAAATCTGGAATATGCCACCATGGTACACATTGTCTAAACGATCAGACATCTCAAAAAATTTGCAAATATAAAGTGGCATTGATCGTAACAATATTTTTTGTATGGCTCAAACTTTGCAGCCAGCTACATTTACTGCAACTAAAAAACTAGTGGGCATAAAAGTGCTAGGACCACCAAGGACATCGACTCACCCACCTTGACCCCTGCAAGTTGAGGTTAGCATCATTGACTCATTCATTTCCAGTTAAAAGCTCAAAAAATACACAATAAGTTGAACTCGATTAGTGGCGACACAATGAAGTTGATCTGATTTCTGGCAAAATCAAGTTTCAGGTTAGATCATCCAAGAAGCCTGCATTGCCAACTTAGCATACCATCCATTTAAATTCCATTCATGACTACAAGATCATGGGAAGAACCAACGACCAACATGGACTGTATGATGAGGGAAAAATAACAAAAAGAAGAGCAACTACCATATATAAGTTAAATTCAACCGCAGCATGTGCATACCATCCATCATCAGTTACACTACTCCAGAAGGAAGGCGTAACACAAGCTGTCCTCCGAAAACACTGCAAAACAGAAAGAACTAGTAATTTTTAAGAAATTAAATACAAAAAGAAAGAAAGACACAAATGTAACCATAGCACTGATAGATGATAAGATGTCATAAAAAGTTGCTTTAACCTTTTCACATAGTAGTAACAGAAGTCTGCTAATATAAAAGTTTGAACAATTTCTGAGATAAGAACCATAGAAGGCCACAATCCATAGCCCAAAGCTGTTAGCAGATGGCCACGGCTGTCCAAAACCTGTCAAATGCACAGAAAACAAATCTCAACATAAACCACAGCATACTCTCTCTTACTGAAGCAATTATACCATTTTCAGCCTCACTGTTTTGCAAACTGAACATATTTTCTCAACATAGTCATCAACCACCACCTCAGCTTTTTCAAACTCTGACCAGGTGACTCCTATGGACCATATGATGCCAAAAAACTATTCTAAAACTATAGGTAGAAGATCAAATAATTATTTACTGCCACATTTGATTGAACAGGATGCTGTTGGCCATACACACTCCAACAATTGATGAATGAAAATATGAATCAGATCTTGTTCTACACTTCAAACAATAAATATTCAAGTTTGCACATCTTACCTGGAGAACCCAATGAGCACAGCTCAAGAACCTTGCAACACCCAATGCGAACACATAATGAGCTGTGAATGGTTCAACAATCTGAGAGAAAAAACAAAAAAAAAAAAAAGCAAAGAAAAAAGAAGTCATAATATCATGCATTAACACTTCATCCAATTATTTTAATTAAAAGATAGGAAACTTGCTTCATATTGCTGTACCTTTGTGTTTTGCATCACTCGCAGTTGGGGTAGCACCGAAACAGCTTCCAGGTATACACAGAATGCCCATAAAATCCTGTTGATAATATGATGTGATGTGGATGGATGGATGAACAAAGCCAATAGAGCACAAGGTACCAACTGCAACAAAAGCAAAGGCCAACGTAAATTCCTCTTGCAATACGCACACACACACACACAAATAATTAGAATGACAATGATACCCAAAAACAAATTTTTAAAAAGAAAATCAAATAAGAAATACTTTTGAAACCAAACTATTCATATAAAAGATAACATGATCTAATATATAATTAACCATGCTTAATAATACAGATCAGGGAATGAATGAACATAAAAAGCATTTTTGATATGTGTACACCTATGGCACTTAATCAACTCATTAGCTGTTAAAAGCATATTACTTAAAAATTGGGGCATATCATTCCGATGGAATAGTTGGATCACTATTCCATGGGTGGGAGTGCCAAGGAGTTGTTTTAATGTGTTAAATGTTAGCAGATGCCATCAATTGTACATGGCGGTTGTTGAGGTGTATAGTTACTGCAGTGACTGTCAAATCTTGAGGATATACCACTAAGGTTTATAGTGTGTTCGATTGCTTCCCTGTGGTATATTTTCAATTTTCAGTCAAATCTTCCTCCCTTAGCACCAAAATTCGAATAAGATAATTAACAAAAAACTTAGGCTAACAAGAAAACAACAAAGGAGCCATACCCCATTCAAGGTCAATGCATAAAGAAAAAAATTGCAGAAAGAAAATGGCACGGACACGATGGAAGACTCACCACATAATATATGGCAAAATTGTCTTTGTCCTCCATGTAACTTGACTTTAGTTTAAAACGAATCATATAAATAACCCACAGGGTGGTACCAAAAGTAGTTAAATCAAGGAAGGTGTGTATGTCATATTCCATGACAAAACTACAGTACAGTCTAACAGCCAGAAATATAGCTGTTAGTTCCTGGGATTTGAGTGACAGCCCTGCAATGGGAAAAAAACCATATATTAATCTGATCGGCATATAGTTAACCTCGAAATATGAATCAAAGATGGAAAAAAATACACAATCAATTACATAATGTTCGAAGAGGAAACCTTCTACCAAATCCAAAAAAAATTCTTTACATTATCCGAAGGCAGAAGAAAACTTGTCAAACTTTCAATAGCCAGAATCCTAGCTTGGTGCAAAGGCTACAACCCGCAAAGTAATGAGGACAAGAAAACAAAGATCAAAAACCTAATGAAACAGTGATGAAATTCTATCTGGTCACCAGTCCTCGAATACGTTTGTTCACTTAAAATTTCCGGGAATGTCATAAAGTATTATAATCAGCATGACAGGTAATTTTTTTTGGAAAATTATCATAAAAGTTCTCTAATTGTTCCCCAAGCAACTTACATTATATATTTAATGTGGTGCCCAACTTCACAGGAAGTACCATAGTATACTCCAACAACACAGAAAAATCCTTAAATAGGCTTCAATTGCCATGATTGATGGCATAGAGACATACACCAACAGTTCATCTCCAGAGTATGGCAAACAAACAAGGTAGTTGGATCAAGTATCTATAATATAAAACAGGCAGACTTCAACAAGCTCATCCGACGGTCTCAAATAGACTCATCCAACAGCCATCAACATTCCTCTCAAAACCATTCACATTGCATCATATCTTTAGCACGGGTTACCCCTAGTACACTATAATTTCAACACAAAATTAACACTTTAGTACAAAAGTGAACTATATTGTGAATTATATAGCCACTCAAACATACTCTTTTCCAACTAAAGCATCGAAAGGCATACAAATAGCAAAAAGATTGAGGGCCAAAACAAACTTGTTGGGAATCAATTGAAAAGAACAACATAAAACTTAGCACAAAATAGTAATTACCTACAATAGAGCTGAGAAATCCTTGTTTTCAGGCAAATGAGATACGTACAATATATAAATGCACACTCTAAAAAGAGAAAAATCCTGATTACTAAGCATGTCATTCGACTCTCAAAAGTACATCCTGTAAGGGCAGTCCACTGTAAGGCCCCTCAAAACTGATCAATAGAGTTCTTACGCATACTAAAAGACCTTCACAGATAAATTGGGTTCTTTTGGTCCATTCCCATTGTAACTACAGAAGCATGTGAAATAATTACCAACCTCAGTCTAAGAAAACCCTAACATTGAGCAAGATGTGGACTTAATGTAATCACAATCTAACAAATCTGAATATTGGAAAGACAATGAAAAATCGAATCTTTTCCAACAAAACAAAATCTAAAAAAGCCAATCGAAACAAATTGAACATCTAATCTATTGTAGCTTCGTTTGGTGCCTGAAAAATCATCTATTAAATCAAAACAAGATCTTTGAGAACCTCCCAAATAAAGTTTAAATCTTTTTATTTTCCAACGATTCACCAGCAACAAAACACACCGAAGTAAAGATAAGATCAACACAAATATCTGTATATATGACTGCAAATTGTGTGAGTAATTTACCAGCACAAGTTTTTTCCTTCATTAACTTATAGATAAGGACAGTGATTCCAATGGAGTGAACAGCTTCGGCGGCGACGAAGAGATTGTCGTGATCGTTCACGATGACTCGTAGCAACACCAGAGCTAACATACCTGCTACAACGGCCAAAAAAGCCTTCACCTTCGGCGGTTGTCGTCGCACCCATGTCGTCACGACGTGGATCGACCTTCTCGGTGGCCTCATCGTCTCTCTGTTCGATGTTTTTTCTACTTTTCTTTCTCTGATGTGTTCTCCAGAAAGTTACGGAAATGAAAGGAAAATTACGATCGATTTGTTATATTCTGTGTGCCTGGGAAAGATGAACGGATGGGTAGGAAGAATGGATTTATTTATTTATTTGAGTGTTTTTTTCACTTTATACCTCCATACTCATATTTGTATAAATAGGAAGATTAATTAGGAATTAAAAAAAAATTACCACCCCGTCTGGGTTAAGTTGATTTAAGGGGCTGAGGAGGCCGGTATCTTTCAAAAAAATTTAATAGGATAAAAATATAATTTTTAAAATAATTAACATAAAAGTATATATGCTAAAAAAAAGTCTTAAAAATCCTTTTACCTCTACCATAAATAGTGTATACTTAATTAAATGTGAAACTTTTAAAATTAGAACGTGTGACTTTCAAAATTCTTTTTGATATTTATGTATCATTTAAATTTTAAAATTTCATATATATATATATATATATATATATATATATATATATATATATATATATATACACACACACATAAAACATTGACACGCTCAACAAAAAAATAGTAACATCAAACAGTAACACAAA